CAGCCGGGTTCCAACGGCAACAGTGCTTGTGAACAGACAGCGCATGTAGTTCACCTACTCGTTTGGCTGAAGCCATGACCAGGATAAACGCGGTCTTATTAGACAAAGCACTCAAGGCTCACGTCTGTCAAGAGCTCAGACGGAGCAGACCGCAGGGCAGCGAGGACCAGAGAGAGGTCCCACACAGGCACGATGAGGTGTGTGTGTGTGTGTGTGTGGGGGGGGGGGTGCAGACTTCTGGCACCTCTCAGAAACAAGGACACGTCCTTGTTACGACCTACTGTCTCCCCACCCACCACCATATGCCAGCAAGAGATGGCAGCAACATAAACTTTCAGGGTGGATGGAAACCGGCCCTGAGAAAGAAGCACTTGAAGGAAAGTAAGAATAACAAAAAGAGGACAGTGTACAGGGTCCTCGTGTCTGGCACAACACCAGTTGCTGAAGACCTTCCACTTATGTGTGTACACCAGTCATATGGAAGGGGCCCCAGCGTTATTCATTGTATGTGCAACCTCACCGTCATATTCTGAGAATATGACGGTGAGGTGTGTTCACTTTCTCATGTAGCCTGTAGCAGCCAAGCCCAGAGCCGGAGGCGACTGGGATCGGGGGTGCAGGAGCTGACCCCCCAACTGTGACAGGAGGTCCTTCCTGTGGGGTAGAGGCATTGGAGAGCTGCAACAGAGCCTGTGCAGCAGTGGAAACCAAGTTCTCCCGGGCCAGAGGACTGTTGCCATTGGAACCCACCTGGTTCGAGTGTTACACTCTGGCCTAACGTAGCGTTCCTTCCTAAGGTGGCCTCATCTGAGACCCACTCTCTACCTCTCCAGCTTGCTCACTTCAATGCAGATGGTGCTGACGAGCCTCTCTGCCCTGTACCTCCTTTATGTATTCAGCCAAAGGGGGAACCATAAAGGATGACCTAGAAGAAGGACGTTTAAAGAAAGCGTTAGAAGCAGCGGGTTGGCTCTGTGGGACATCCAGGTGCAACCGAGCAAGAGCAGTTCTCAAAGCACCCATTATGGAACCGTCCTCTGGCTGAGAGCAGGAGGAGGTGTGCGAACTGGCAGTCGACACACACGAGCCAGACACAAACTGCTCTTGAAAATCAGTTCCGGATGCTGCCAGGGCAATAGCATCTTCTTCAAAAGCAGAGGCCCCTGAGTCCATGTTCTGTCCCAGATCAGGGTCCCCAGTCAGACCTGCGTTGTTCCCTTCCCTCAGGGACTCGAGTAGCGCCTTCATCTGTTCTAGCTCAGAGGTGAGATGGGCCATCTGCTCAGATAGTTCCTCTGAGCCCCTGGAGCTTTTCTTTGTCCTCTTTCATGGAGGCCCCAAGGTCTCCGGGGCCACACGCTTAAGAGGCTGGCTCACAGTCTCAGAAGCAGCCAAATGAGCTGGCCGCAGGGACAAGGGCAGAACGGAACAGTTGGGGCAGGCCACTTCCATCAAGGCCTCCTTTAGATGATCTGGCCCCAAACAAGAGGGGCACAGATCATGTCCATCCTCCAACTGGAGAGGGGTCAAACAGGCTCTGCAGCACTGCACGTCCAGCATCTTACGGCTCACAGGACTAGAAGCGTACGGTCGAGCAGGAAACGCCACTCTTGGCACTGGAGTCGATGAGCGAATGGACCAGGGAACCTGGTTGAGCAGAAAACGCCACCAGGGCTTCCCCAACTGCTAGCTTATAAAAGCAGCCAGAAGTGCTACGACTGCCGTAGGCAGTCACAGGTAAAAAATGCAACACGAACACGGTTGCGATTAAAGAAAGGAGGGCAAGCCGAACATAGCTGCACAACTCAAGAAAAAATGCATGCACGAACACAGCTGCACTATAATGAAAAAAAGGCAGCCGAACACGGCCGCACAACTCAAGAAAAAATGCATGCACGAACACGGTTGCACTGTAATGAAAAAAATGCAAGCACGTAAAACGGCTGCAGTGTAACAATATAAAGTCAGGACTGAGCTTCCCAGTCCAGCTCTTCTCAGCCGCCTGAGGAAGTAGAGTCTCTGATGAGCTTTCTTGATCAGGCTGGTAGTGTTGTTGCCCCAGCTGAGGTTGTCATTCATGTGTACACCCAAGTACTTGTAGCTAGAGACCACTTCCACTGCAGATCCTCTTATGTTCAGGGGGATGTAGGTGTGTTTGTTCCTTCTGAAGTCCACAATCATCTCTTTTGTCTTCTTCACATTGATGTGAAGGTTATTCTCTTTGCACCAGCTCTCCAGGTGTTCCACCTCCTGCCTATAGCTGGACTCCTCATTGTTTGTGATGCATCCTACCACCGCTGTATCATCTGCAAACTTTACAATATGACAGCCTGGACGGGTAACTGCACAATCATAGAGTAAACAGGAGGGGGCTCAACACACATCCTTGAGGAGAGCCAGTGCTGAGGGTTATGGTGGAGGAGGAGAAGTTGTGGATCCTCACTAACTTTGGTCTGTTTGTTAAGAAGTCTAATACCCAGTTGCAATCGGAGGGGCTTAGTCCTAGTGTGACTAGTTTGTCCATCAGGGTGTGGGGGATCATGGTGTTGAAGGCAGATGTGAAGTCCACAAAGAGCATATGGATGTAAGAGTCTTTCTGCTCCAGATGGTTGAGCACAATGTGTACCATAGAGGAGATGGCATCCTCTGTTGATCGGTTCTCATGGTATGCATACTGATGAGCATTCTTGCTGATGTTGATGGTTGTTTTGATGTGGGTCATGACCAGTTTTTCGAAGCATTTAGTGACTATCGGGGTTAAGGGCCACTGGCCGATAGTCATTCAGACCAGTCACTGTAGAGCTTTTTGGGACTGGGATGATGGTGGCAGTCTTCAGGCAGGTGGGTACTGTCTCCAGGGTAAATGAGGTGTGAAAGATGTCTGCCAGCACCTCACAGAGCTGATCAGCACATTCTTTCAACACTTTTCCAGGGATGTTGTCTGGGCCTGTTGCCTTGTGCGGATTAATCCTCCTGAAGGTACTCCTTACTTCTGCTGAGGTCACGCTGAAATGCTTTTCATCTGGTGGTGAGGCGAGTCTGGTGTTGGGTGGTCTGTTTGGGTCTTCAAAGCGTGCATATAACTTATTGAGGGCATCAGGCAGAGATTAGTCTTTGGGGCATTGTTCACTCCTTCCTTTATAATCTGTTATGCACTTAATGCCCCTCCACATGCTCCGAGGGTCTTGTGAGGTGAATTGACCCTCGATCCTCTGTGCATATGTGGCCTTGACCTTCTTAATACCAGCAACCAGCTCTTTCCTTGTCTTACTCAGCTCTTCTGAGTTTACAGATCTGAAGGCAGTGTTCCTGGTTTTCAGTAAGGTGCGCACCTCTGTATTCAGCCAAGGTTTTCTGTTTGGATAGCTTTTAACATATCTGATGGTGGAGACGGGGTCAGTACATGTACTAATGTAACCCAGAACTGAGGATGCGTATTGGTCCAGATCAAGCGATCCTTCATTTTCAGCAGCTTCTCTGAAAACTTGCCAATCTCTTCGATCAAAACGTTCTCTCAGTGTGGGGCCACTGTCCTGGATCCAACATTTAACTTTCTTTTGTACCATTCTGGAGCATCTCAGTGGGGGCATGTAAGCAGGGGCCAAGAAGATTTAGATGTGGTCTGACAGTCCTAGGTGGGGGCGGGGTTAAGCTTTGTATGTATCTTTTACGTTTGTTTAAACACGGTCCAACGTGTTGTTTCCACGTGTTGTATGCCCACATGCTGGTAAAAACTTGGGAGGCAGTCCTTTACATTCACATGGTTAAAGTCTCCGGCTACCACGTAAAGAGCCTCAGGGTGTTTGTTCTGCAGAGAGCTTAAGATATCGTGGAGCTCCTGCAGGGCATCATTAGCATTAGCATTCGGTGGAATATAAACAACTGTGATGAAAGTCACTATGAACTTGTGGGGTAGAGAGTGTGGACGACATTTTACTTTTATCTGCTCCAAAGCCTTCGAGCATGAGCTTTTTACAACAGTATAGTTCGTGCACCAACTTTTACTCACTTAAATGCACACTCTGCCTCCCCTTGATTTCCCCGTTAGCTCGCTGCCGTGGTCTGCTCACAAAAAATGCCTGTCATCCAGCTGGAAGACTGTATCCGGCGTTTCACTTGTAATCCATGTTTCCGTGAGGCAAAGCACCGCACACTTCATCATCTCTTCTGAGGCGCCCGCTCTCAGACGAAGCAAATCCATCTTGTTGTCCAACGAGCGGACATTCAAAAGAAAAAGAGACGGCATCGGGAGTTTCCGGCTTTAGCGTTAGCTCGTAGCCTCACCAAAACTCCCGCCCGGCATTATTTGCAGTATGATAAATGATAAATATACGCTTCCGATGTTTTGTTCTTTTTTTTTTTTGTAAATAATAAATTAAGTTTTTTTGTGAATATCGTCATGAGTTCCTATGATGTCACATCAACTAGTCGACGTTAACTCGTCTTGTATCTTTTTGAAGTCGATTTAAAAAAATATGTAGTCGTTCAACCCCTACTCACAGCAAGAAGGTCCTGGGTTCTATCCCTGGTTGGACCTGGAGTCTTTTTGTCTGGAGTTTGCATGTTCGTCTTGTGCTTGTGTGGCTTTTCTCCAGATACTCCAGTTTCCTCCCATAGTCCAAAAACATGCATGTTAGGCTTCTTTCAGGTCCAGGCCTCCCTTGCAAAAGAGATATGTGATCTCAGTGGGATTTGCCTGGTTAAATAAAGGTTAATAAGTAATAATAAATAAATAATTTTGTGTCATGTCCAATCTTTGAAAAACCGGGATAGAGCGAGTCCTCGAAAAATGAACTGTGAAGTAACGAGGGATTACTGTATTGTCCAACCTTCAAAAAGCCAGTTCCATGTTTTCTTCCATAGATTGTTAATGAGACAATAGCTTGTAAATCTACCTTAAATGCTATACTTTTGATTTTGGCCCTGACAAGAGTATGTCACATAAATATGGCTGAAATATTTGTTGACTACTTTTCCATGTTTTCCTGCTCATTACACAGGGTTCCTTCATGGAGTGCAGGCCATATGGAAGCATTTCCCACCGCTTTCACCGTGAATGTGCCTCTATCTTGAAGGATCGCATCTTTTGCCCCCACTGTGGAGAGGATGCCAACGGGGCGACAAATGTCACAGTTTCAATTTCAAAGCCAGACCCATCGCCCTCTGTACTCAGATCAAACCCTGGGCCGGCACTTCCTGTTGTAGCCACCCTGCCATTAGTTCCAACAACACCGGCTGTGCCTCAAATACTGAGAGCAAAGAAGAGCAGCGAGCCCCGGAGGAGCAGAGATCTGAGTTTGAGCAGGTCAAACCACTTTGATTATTCTTTTCGTGGGCAGAGAATGAAAACATTGCTCTGATTCTCTTTGATACATCCTAGACATAAGTGTAATTAATGTGTTTGTTTTATTTCTAAAGACCAAAAGGAGAAGGGGCACATTTTGCAGACAGACATCCTAAAGAGTCATTGGAGAGTATCCTTGTGTCACTGGATGATGTAAAGTAAGTTTGCAGAGATTGCATACAAAAAATGTATTTGAGTGTGAGATGACAAACTGATTTAGACCTTTTTATTTTTAGCCTGAAAGTAAAAAAGGTGAAGTTTCCTGCCAGGCAGCTTTACGTTTCTGCAAAGCAAGGAGACTTGACAAGAGTCATTCAGCTTCTAGGTAATACAAATTATGAAAATTGGTCTCTGGCTCAACTTTTCTTCAGTTGTTTTCCAGTTGCCTTATGTGAGAGTGAAAATGTGAAAATATTAACTCTGGATTTGTTACGGTGGCCTATATTCTACCTTCCAGTGATGCATAGTCAGGGGAGGCAGTGCCTCACCTGTCATCATGACTACTAAAATACTGACAGTGATAAGAGAAAATACATTTGACCACTTGACTGTTCTATAAAAGTGTTTTATGAAACGTTGGTTTTGTACTGTAATCCCAGATTCTATGAGTATAGGCGTAGCCCTTTAAGAGCTGTCTCTTAGTGGGTTTATCCTGTCATGCGAAGCATTGTACTGAAAAATTTAGTCCACGCCCACCTGCTGTGTGGGCCCCACCCGGTCCGTATAAATTACGTTAAGAGCGGATAATCGGCTCCCAAATAGCTTTTTCTTCAGCCATTTAGGAGCCAGTGAGGCCCAATGCTTAAAGGGCTACGCCTATACTCATAGAATCTGGGGTTACAGTACGTAACCAACGTTCTATTTCGTATAGGCTTCGCCCTTTAAGAGCTGTTGCTTAGTGGGTTAAGGGCGAAGCAGATGTGGTCCTCGCATCACTGGGTCCATTCAAACACCATACGAAGCGGCAGCTTGTCCAAAAAAAAGTCTTGTCACTCAGCTCTCCATGTGCGTAATTACGCGTTGCGTAATTATGCGTACCATGCACAGATGCATGCTGTGTAGTTATGCGTTCTGAGTGCATGAACGCCCCGGAAACTTTCAACGGGGAAAGGAAGATGCTGAAAAAGGGCCATGAATCAACAGATTTACGGCTGAACAATATGAACAGATTAATAATAACATGTGAGCTGTTTATTAATCAAATGAACTGATTGGTAACAGTAGTCATGAACTGATTAATGACAATAGAACCAAAATAACAGTCACACCTTGTGGCTGATAACAACATCTCACACTGTAATGCATGCAGTCAGATGTGAGTTTAAACGGGGTTCCCTGAAACAACAATATTCATTCTGTTAAAACACTAAGGACAGAATGTGTCATGAACGAGCCGTCACATCACGTAGATAGAAGCGAATAAATGAGCAGGGTGTTGACCACGCGGCCGCAGTGCAAATATTCTGCATTGTCATACCATTATGCAGAGCAGTCGAAGATGCGATACCTCTGGTCGAATGCTCCCTGAGGTTGTCAGGAGGCTCTAAATCTGATGCTCTGTAGGCTTTAAAAATGGCCTCACAGCCAGTGTGACAGGCACTGGGTGGATAACGGACGACCTGCAGATACATCTCTATAATGCACAAGCAAATGTTGAGTTTGACGCATTGCAGCTATGTAACACGTCAATGCCCGCTCAAGACAGAGCAGATGGAAAGATGTTTTTTCTTCTGATTTGTAGGGGGGAGGGGAAAAACCCCTCCATCGATATCACGCTTGATTTAAAAGAGCTCATGATGTTTTAGGCATAAAAGCTGGATTCTGTCTTGGATCAGCTGAGCTGCCATCAGCCTGAATTCTGAGACATGACGGAGCAACAGAAAGGGCAGATAAATCACTCACCCTCTTAGCGGATGTTAAAGCCAGCAGCAGGGCTGTTTTAAGAGACAAGAATGTAATTGGAACCTGAATCAGTGGCTCGAATGGAGCTTGATTAGGGCCCGCAGGACCAGCGTTAAATCCCACTGTGGAGCAAGTGGGCGTGAAACAGGCCTGCGTCTCTGTACACCTTTTAAAAAACGCTTCATCAGCGGATGATTAAAAGCTGTTCTGTCTCTGAACCCTTCATGACAGGAAGAGATGGCTGCAGCGTACGTTTTAATCATGCTGAATGCCAAATTTCTGTCCATCAGCTGCTGCAGAAAGGACAGCATGCCGCCTAGTGGGCATGAGGTGTCCTCTACACCTTTCTCTGTACACCTTTTAAAAAATGCTTCATCAGCAGATGATTAGAAGCTGTTTTGTCTCCGAAAAACCTTTGTGACAGGAAGAGATGGCTGCAGCATACGTTTAATCTTGCTGAATGCCAAATTTCTGTCCATCAGCTACTGCAGAAAGGACAGCACGCCGCCTAGTGGACATAAGGTGGCCTCTACACCTTTCTCTGTACATCAGCGCTGAAAAACTGTCCACTTTGATGTGTACAGCGCTGTGGTGGATGCAGCACGTGAATCCTGGATTGTGCGCACTACATCTCGCGGGAGACCTATCCTCTCTAAGCGGATCTGCTCAACGGCCAGACCCACAGTTGCTGGCCTATTTCTGTGTAACTCCTGATCGCTCCTCCCGCCTGGAGGAGAGTGTCCTCCCTCCATGGCAGTTTCCACGGACGCCCCAATAACAGACTTCGTAGAACCGGGAACCATGGTGCGTTCACGCGCTCGGGAGCCACCAGAAGAGCTGTCAGTCCCTCCTCCTGAACTCGGTTCAGAAACCGTAATATCAGAAGAGGTGGGGGGAGCGCGTAAAGAAGTGTTTTGGGCCATGGGCTGTGAGCAAACACGTCCACCCCCAGCGGTGGTTCATCTCGTGGGCTCTGTGAAAACCATAGTTGACACTGAGCGTTTTCTCGTGTCTCAAACAGGTCCACAGCCGCATGCCAAATTACTACCACGTCTGGGCCATCAGATTGAGGTGGAGGGTCCACTCCCCGTGATGCGGACCGCCCCTGGACATCACATCTGCCCCTTGTTCAGAACACCGGGGATGTACACTGCTCTGATGGAGAGCAAATTTTATGTGCCCAACACATTAGTTTTCTCGCAATGTATAACATTTGGGCTAAGCGCACCCCCCCTGCTGGTTCATGTAAACAGCAGTAACCTTGTTGTCTGTGTGAATCAAAACGTGTTGATTCTGTAGCACAGGAGCAAAGTGTTGAATCACATTCAGAACTGTGCGACATTCCAGAACATTTATATGAGCTGTTGTGAGAAAGGCCACAGCGCCCCTACAGCTCGAGATAGGCATTTCACCCCACAACCTGACAACGACGCGTCTGTGAAGACTGACACGTGTAACGTAGGTCTGCTGACGGGTACTCCCTCCGACAGAATCAGGGGGTTTCCCAGTATCGGAGATCTGTTCTCACGAAGGGAGGAACAGTGATCATCCGTCTCTTTTGCCTCACCGGATCCACGTGCAGACGAGCAAACCATCTCTGGAGGCGTCTCATGTGTAGTAAGCCCAACGGGCCACATTGTGAGCTGACGACATTGTTCCTAACAGCTTCATGATGGAAAATAGCTGTTACTACTCTGCCCGGTCTTACGTGGCGGAGCTGGACTTATATAGCGTCTATTCTCGTCTGTGATAAACGAATAAACGAGCCCTCATCGTGGTCGAGTTTAGCCCCACTCCCAGATAACAATCGTCTGGGCCGGGAGAATCAAGCTTTTTTCCAATTTATGGCGAAGCCCAGAATTAGCAGGTGTTACATCAGCACCTGAACCTGGGCCGCTGCTTCCTGTTGTCAACATGTGAAGCGGTCTGCCCACGATCGCCTTGTTGAAAACTGACAGGTCCAAAATTGGTCTTGTTCCCCCGGTCCGTTTTGGAACCAGGAAATAACGTGAGAAAAAAGCCTGTGTTTTCCTCTCAGTCGGAAACCCCTGGACTTCTGCCTTTAGGGATGAGACCTGGTCTGGTGATGATAGGACCGTCTCTAAAAACTCCTCCAATGGAGGGGGTCAGGCTGCAAGTTTTAGTGTGTAACCCCTGCTATCAGCTTGGCCATCCATCTGTCTGGCGAGCAAGCTCGCAGCCACTCCACGTAACGTTCGTGGAGTGGGCGCGCGTTTAGCTGGTGCGTCATGTTTTTACGGACGTCAGCCAGTCTACCACCCCGATCATTGTCATGCGCCGCGGAAGTGTGTTCCGCGTGACCCAAGGCGAGGCTTCCTCGAAAGGGCTCTGAGCGCGCCTCTGTGCCGCGCTCGGGCTGCGGGTTCACATTCATGTCTATGTGGACCGGCGTGTGTTGAGGAGAGGCGTGTGAAAACTGTTGAGCACGAGACCACGCGTTTGACACTACTGCGGTGAGACGCGTTCCGCTCCTGTGCGCGCCTTCATCAACGCCGCGTGGTTTGAATGAAGGCTGCAGGCACTGCGGAAGCACGCGTTTGCTTCATTGAGGCACGTGCCACTCCTGCTGAGAGCGAGGTTTTTCACTGGGCCCGTTCTGCAGTCTCACATTTATGCTGATGCAAGTGGGTGAGCACTGAGAGGCGGTGTGCACGCCTTCATCAACGCCGCGTCGTTTGAATGAAGGCTGCAGGCGCCGCGGAAGCTCGCCTTTGCTTCGGTGAGACGCGTTCCACTCCTGGAAGTGTGCAGCTCAGGCTGAAAACGAGTTATTCCACTGAACTCGTTCTGCGGACCACATTCGCTTCGACTGTTGTGTCAAGCGAGCGTCTCGTCCTTATTTGGAGCAACAGTGATTCTGAAAAACCTTTTTTAAAAGCCACCGGCTCGTTTTGTGTAGATGATGTGTGAAGGAGCCGCTGTCAGGTCATCCAAGCTGACAGACTGGCTAAAAAACAGACACTTTCATCATTAAATGATGTTTTATTCCAAAAATGCGTGTCATATTTACACACATCTTCCACAAACCATCATTTTGAATCATCTCCCCCGTGAGCTCTGCGGTTTGTTGTCCTAGGGCGCCGCCTGTTGGCGATCTCAGGGAAACGCTGAACCTCCGGTTGCCGGGATGAGAAAGGCTGATGTTTGATGGGCGGGGCTGTCGTTGCGGAGCGGGTAGACGCTGTTGCAGCCGTGGAACATCTTGAAAATGGTCCCGAACTGCGCGTCCGTCGTTGCTGGGGGCTCTCCAACAAAAAAACTTTCTGCAGCTCCTCCGAGAGGGAGGTGGAGTGACAGGCCAGGTGGACCTCTGGAAAACCTCGTCCTCCGGCTGAGATGCGAGACCGGCAGACATCAAAAGCCGCGCACAGGTTGAGGATGACGTCAGCTGCCTTGCTCCTG